CAGATGTCCGGCACCAGGATACTCCAATCTGCTCAGCAGGTGTTCATTCCCGGCTTCACGCATCATCCGGGCTATCTGGAGGTCACAGGTCAAATGAAAATAAGGCTCAAACTGAATGTACGTCTATGGTGCTGGATGTACATGTCAACATAGAGGTGAACAATTTGATACTAAGTGTCCCATAAATGGGCTGCAAGGTGGCGCAGTTGGTTAGCACTGTTGCCTCGCGTCCTGGTGGGGGCACCGGGACCTTTCTGCGTGGAGTTTGCATGTTCTCCCCGTACAGCGTGGGTTCTCTCGGGGTTCTCCGGCTTCCTCTCACAAGTCCAAAAACATGTTGAGGTTAATTGGTAGTTCTAAATTGTCCATGGGTGTGAATGTGAGTGTGCTTGGTTGTCTGTCTCTGGGTGTGGCCCTGCGATGGACTGGCGACCTGTCCGGGGTGTTCCCTGCCTTCGCCCTGTGTCAGCTGGGCTGGGCTCCGGCCCCCCCGCTACCCTAGTGAGGATAAAGCGGTGTATAGACAATGATGGATGTCCCATAAATCAGAAGTAGGCTATGTATGTTATTTATGCTAATGTAACACGAATGTTGTCTTGTTATGAGTAGCTAACGTCTTGTTTGGCAAACACAGTGATTACCATTATGTCAGGGCCTTGTTGTTTAGGCTAAAACAACTAATGACATATTTTTTTCGAAATTTCGCAAAGCATAAAGCAAATGACATTGTTTATGCTAAAAACAATTATGTCATCTTCTTTAAGTTTGTGTTGTAGCTAAAAAGATCTTGTTTTAATTAACATTGCAGCTGACATTTTATCACAGTGAGCCTAACATCTTCTTAGGCTAAAACAGCGAGTAACGTTATCTTGTTTAGTTTAAAGTTTTGGCTAACATTGTCTTGATTACACTCTTATTTAGGTTAACACAGGAATTAACATCATCTTTTTACAATAACTTTGCAGGTATCTTTGAATCATTTAGGCTAGCACACCGACTACTGTTTGCTAAGGTTAACACATTGGCTAATGTTATGTTGTTTAGGCTAAAAAGCAACGTTGTCCTGTTTAGGTTAAAACGTTGGTTAATGTTACTTTGTTAAGGTTACATTTCAATTAATGCTATCGTGTACAGGTTCGATTGTGTCTATCTTCTTTTGGCTAACCAAGCAACTAGCATCATCTTGTTTAGGCTAACACAGCAGCTATCAATATCTTCTTAGGTTAGCATTGCTGGTAACATTATGTCATTTAGGCCAACACAGTGATTATCGTCATCTTGTTAAGGTAACCACAGAGGCCAACTTGTTTAGGTAAGTTAGGTTAACATATTGGTTAACATTTAGGCTAAAATGGCAAGTAATGTTGTCATGTTTAGGTAAAATTTCAGTTTGTTTAGGCTACCATTTTCTCTTTTTATCTACATTTATTTTTAAAAATATTTGATTGCGTTTTGCCTTTAGTTGAATATGCTATTGAGAACTGTTAATAAAATTCGTATCAAGACATAAGTGTGTGTGTGTGAACTTACATCTTCATTTGTCTCAAATGAAGGCCAGTTCTGATCATCACAGCCGCTGACCAACAACACCGGAGACTTTAAGTTTCCCATCTGCCACAAAGAACTGCTTTAAAACATGTTAAAATACTACAGACGGTAAAATAAAGTACACTGAGGCTGACGAGAGTCCGACTGGTTCTGCAGGTATCTGATTGTAAATGAAAGCAGTGGAAGCATTGACACTGATCACAGGCTGTAATGAAATGCTAATATAAAACATTACTTACGTTCACTTTCCTTGAGGGGTCACTATCAAGAAGTGCCAGGCCCATATCTTTCCAAATCTCATGGTTGTTCTCATCCCGAGATATCTTGTCTGAAAGTCTGTTGTCACAGATGTTTGTCCATGTCACCCAGACTGTGAAACTCTATGTTGTGTGTTCATGTTACTGACAAACACTGTACTTACGTGCTCGTTCCTTCATGGACCCCGAACAGATGTTTCCCTCTTGGATAAGTTATGATGCTGCTGATGCAAACAGCACAACGAGGCTGAAACCCAAGAAGAAATCAAGTATTTTGGCCGTTTAATGGTAAACGTGTCGTCTTTCGGTTGAGTCACCGACACTTGATTGAGTTGTGACGTTTACATGATAACTTTGATCAAGCATTAAAAAATAAATTAACCTTTAAAGACTAAAGGACAAGCAGCTTGAAGGTATTTTGCTTCACTACCTTGACAACAGTGCTTTTGGTTGCCAAGTAGAGGGCCAGAAGCGAACCAAGTGAAATCCCAAAAACTCCAACTCTGTCTTCAATCACTTGAGGATGGTCCTTGATGATATTAAATGCAGTCTGTGCAGAGATACATTCCAGGGAATTAATAGTATTAACAGAAAAACAGGTCATCTGCATGTTCTGAAAGACGCACTATGTCTAAGCTAAACAAATCACTAATCAAAAAACTAACAGATTACTGGACAAAACCATGGAGATATTAATCGACAATGGAAATCATCGTTGCCTGCATCCTGAGTTGTATTTGCTCTGAACAATCACACTTAGTTAAACACCGACTGTTAAAAGCTACATTTCCATTCTATAGATAATTAAATTACAGAAACCTCAGCGTAGCTGAACTCTGGCTGGTCGCAGCCCAAGTAGTCCAGCGACATTGTAGCGTAACCATGGGATGCCAACAAAGCAGAGCGATACTCCATTAGCCCTCCACCTCCCCAAAGGTCCAGAATCCCGGGGAAAGGTCCTGGACCTGACCAAAGGAGAACCAGTAAGTTATTTCAATGCTAACAAGCATTAATCATGACAAAATCAATAAATGACAAATAATGACAAATAAATGAATCTGTGAGTGAACCAAGGTTTATTGATCTGTGTGGAGGACTTGCATCGACTCTTTCAGAGAAAGAGGATCAGGTGCCCTCATGCTTCAAACACTCCACCATCATCCCGGTCCCCAAGAAGCCCTCCATCACAGGATTAAATGACAGGCCCGTCGCCCTGACGTCTGTGGTCATTAAAACCTTTGAGAGACTGGTGCTGAGCCACCTGAAGGACATCACAGGCCCCCTGATGGACCCCCTGCCGTTTGCCTATCGGGCAAACAGGTCGGTGGATGATGCAGTCAATGTAGGACTGCACTACATTCTGCATCACCTTGACTCCCCAGATCCGTACGCAAGGATCCTGTTCATAGACTTCAGCTCTGCATTCAACACCGTCGCTCCTGGAATCCTCCACCAAAAGCTCACCCAGCTCACTGTGCCCACCTTCACCTGCCAGTGGATCACCAGCTGTGTCACTGACTGGAGACAGCAGGTGAGGCTGGGGAGCTTCACATCCAGCACTTGGAATACCAGTACTGGCCGGTTGCGTCCTCTCCCCACTGCTCTTCTCCCTCTACAACAATGACTCCTCCTCATTGAACTCTTCCGTGAAAGTCCCGAAGTATGCGAACGACACCACTGGAATTGGTCTGATCTGATGTTACGTTGCCGAGCTGCTCCCTACATAGTTCGCCACATAGTGGTCCCTCGATAGGGAGGAGGGAGTGAGTAGATGCCACAGTATACCCTACAACAGTGTCTGAAAAACAATAATTAGTAATGATTTAAGACAGAGGCCTTTGTGGGCCATAAAAGTGACAGAATAGTGAAAGATTTCGAATCAGCCTTTCTACAACACCAACAATTGATGTAGACATCGACCCTGAAAAAAAATAATCAGAGGATCCCTAGTGCTAAAAACAGTACCTGGAGGTATCAACAGAGTCCCTTGCACTCCCTTCTCTCTGATATCGATCCTCTGGACACCTGGAGCCATGTACCATCTCTCTATGAGCGCCGAGGCCAGAGGAGCTCGATCCCTGAAGCCCTCGTGTCCACTGTGGATCGAGATGTTGACCAGCATGGGGCTGCTCACGTTCTTCTTTCTCAACCTGACCAGGAAAACCAAGAGCAGACCATTTAACAGCAGCGAAAATGCCAGAAACAGTCTTCAAACTACTGGATTACTGTGAGGCAGCAGAAAAATAAAAACAAGGAATTTCTGAATTCTAAGCAGATTTATGGCGGCTTATTCTGAATGTACATCAGAGATAATGACATCCTTGGGAATGTGTATTTAATGTCTTTGTGTTCAGATTTCATTGAGCCACTCAGTATCTTTGCCCTTTTCAAATGTTGGACTTTGATAGAGTTGTTGATGTATTTCAGGGTGGCCATGCCGAGCTGGAGTAAAAGACTAAAGACGTATTACCTGAGGCCTTCGCGGCTGCCTGGGACAGGGCACATACTCCACAGCAAACCCATGGGCTCTTGTCCAGTGTATGTGCCTCCAAAACTCAGATCTTTTGACACTGCAAGAGCAACAAGGAAAAACAAAATCCATCAAGCAACTTAGCAGCAAAGTCAAACACAGAAAGCATCACAGTTGATTTCAAGGACAGAACAACAAAGAGGCAAAAGTCATTCACTTTGATGCTTCCAGTGTATTTACATTTACTTTGATATATGTTCAGAATCTTCACTTTGTTGCACTAAATAAAGAAAATAAGCACTTTCCCAATCAATCTACGTTATGAATAGCAGTCCAATATTTTTTTTGCTTTAGCTTCATGTTTGGTCTCCACCAGCTAATAATGGGAAATATTGGACTTTTTAGCCGCTACATAACGAACAGCCTGCTGCACGGATTCCATGTTATAAACAGTGGAGGCACTCTAGCCTTAGCTTGGATCATTGAGTGATGCATTTAAGCATCCACCTATCTATCTTCTGCTTATCCGGGGTCGGGTCGTGGAGGTCGCAGGCGGAGCAGGTCATTCCAGAGACGTACTTTCCCCCCGGCAACAATTTCCAGCTCCCCCTGGGGGAGCTCAAGGCGTTCCCAGGCCAGCCGAGAAATATTATTCCTCCAGCGGGTTCTGGTTCAAAGAGCTGGTCCACTGTTCCATGACCAAGACGGAATCCGCATTCGGCTGGGGCCTCCCGTCCAGCACCCAAGAGTAAGCGTTCCCAGGGAGGCTGAGAAGTGTGATACTCCGGTAGTTGGCACACACCATCCAGTCCCCCTTCTTGAAAATGGGAACCACCACCCCGGTCTGCCACTTCACAGGCACTGTACCCGATGCTCACACAACACTGAAGAGACGTGTCAGTCATGACAGTCCAACAATGTCCAGAGCCTTTAGCATCTCAGGGAGAATCTCGTCCACACCTGGCATTTTGCCACCAAGGAGCTTCTTAACTACCTCTGCGACCTCTACCACGGATATAGACAAAGAGCTCCCAAGACTTCAGGCTTTGCCCACTCAGCAGAGGACATGTTTACCGGGTTCAGGAGTTCCTCGAAGTGCTCCTTCCACCACCCGACAATGTCCCCAGTCTGGGTCTGCAGTTCTCCCCTCCGATTGTACGCAGCCTGGGCAAAGCCCTGCCTCCCCTTCCTGAGGCACCGAACCGTTTGCCAGAACTTCCTCGAGGCCAACCGAAAGCCCTTCTCCAAGGCCTCCCAGAACTCCTCCCACACCCGAGTGTGGCTGCTTCTAGAGACTCCCAAGCCAACCAGGCCCAGAAAGTCTCCTTCTTCAGCCTGATAGATTCCCTCACTGCCCGTGTCCACCAGCAGGTTCTGGGGTTGCCGCCACGACAGGCACCAGTTACCTTCTGCCCGCAGCTCCTAACAGCCACTTCTGCAATGAAGGCTTTGAACCTGGTCCACTCCGACTTCATGTCCCCAACCTCCCCCAGGATGCAAGACAACCTCTTCCGGAGGTGGCAATTGGATACCCCCCGGACAGAGGCCTCCACCAGATGTTCCCAGTTCACCCTCACTGTCCGTTTGGGTTTACCAGGTCTGTACAGCAGCCTTCCCTGCCATCGGATCCAACTCACCACAGGTGGTGATCAGTTGACAGCTCTGCTCCTCTTGTCACCCAAGAGTGCGAGACATACGGCAACCGGTCTGATGACACAACTACAAAGTCCATCATCAAGGCCTAAGGTACTCTGGTACCAGGTACACTTATGAAAAACCGTATATGTATGGTGTTTGTTACCGTATGGTCTTTGTTATGGCCAGTCTATGACTAGCACAGAAGTCCAATAACAAAACTCCACTCGTGTTCAGATCGGGCAGGCCGTTCCTCCCCAATCCCTCCCCTCCAGGTTTCTTCGTCACTGCCCACGTGAGCATTGACGTCCCCTAGAACTATGGAATCCCCAGGCGGCACCCCTTCCAGAACACCCCCCAGAGACTCCAAGAAGGCCAGATACTCTGAACTGCTGTTTCATGCATACGCATAAACAACAGTCAGAGTTTTCCCCTCTGCAACATGCAGTCACAGAGAGGCAACCCTCTTATTCTCCCAGGAGAACTCCAACAGAGCAGCGCTCAGCCAGGGGCTTGTGAGTAACCCCACACCCGCCTGGTGCCTCTTACCCTGAGCAACTCCAGAAAAGGAGAGCGTCTAACCCCTCTCCAGACGTTGGGTTCTGGAACCCTTGCTGTGCGTGGAGGTGAGCCCGACTATATCAAGCCGGTATTGCTCCATCTTCCGCACCAGCTCAGGTTCCTTCCCTGCATTTCAGGATCAAAAAGCTAATTGTTAAAACACCCAAACAAAGGACCGGCTGTATTTGTTTCTCAGTTTTGTGAAAGAGGACCAAACCCCACCGTTGACGGTTCCTCCATGGTCGCTGACGTAGAACCCGAAGGCCTCCCAGTCGTGATTGTCCTCAGAATGGTGGAGGGAGCGAACAGTTACCGGACATGCTGGAGGCAGATTCTCCACCAAAACCTTGAACTTCTCGTCAACCAGAGTCCGAGTGGGGAGGACAGAGAGAATCGGAGTCTGAGACATGACCGATAAAAATCTGTGGAGAAATAAAAACACGACAGGCTGCATCAACATGGATTAAAAATGTTATTCTGTCAGTGACTTACCGCCAAACATTCAAAAATGGTTTCATGGTCGGACCAAAGAACACACATTTTTGTTGTATTTTACAGAATGTGTTTTACAGAACACTTTCTTTTTGCCAAATTCTTAAAGGAGACACACAATAAAGTGGGTTTGATCAAATATCAGGCTTTAATACTTAGATTAGTTAAAAAGTCCGTTTCACAGCTGTCAAAACCTTTGTTCCAGGTGTAAATGCAGTAACAAGGTAAAGTTACAAGTTGCTCTCAATAAGGATAAATTAGATCTCAATACAGATAAAACAAAATACATGATTTTTCTGCAGAATAGATGTAAACCACCACACTTAGACCTGTCAGATCTGGACCAGGCTAACAAAAGAGACGGTTTAAATCTACAGTTTAAACCAGAAGTTTACATACACTGTATAAAAAGACACAACCTTTTTCTGACATTAAATGTGTAACCTTTTTCTGTTTTAGGTCAGTTAGGATTACCAAAACTATTTTTATTTGCTTAATGCCAGAATAATGAGAGAGAGAAGTTTTTAGAGGATTTTTAAAAATACTTTCTACAGTTTCCATACATTTCCTTAGTATTTGGTAGCGCTGCCTTTAAACTGTATGACTTGGGTCAAATGTTTTGGGTTCCCTTCCACAAGCTTCTCACAATAGCTTGATGAATTCTGGCCCATTCCTCCTGACAGAACTGGTGGAACTGAGTCAGGTTTGTTGGCCGCCTTGCGCCACACGCCTTTTCAGCTCTACCCACAAATTTTGTACAGGATTGAGATCAGGGCTTTGTGATGGCCACTCCACAACACTGACTTTGTTGTCCTGAAGCCTCTCTGTAAGCAATCTGGCGGTATGCTGAGGGTCATTGTCCATCTGAAGACCCATTAGCGCCCAAGCTTTAACTTCCTGCTGATGTCTTGAGATGTTGCTTCAATATTTCCAAACAATGTTCTTTCCTCATGATGCCATCTATTTAGTGAAGTGCACCAGTCCCTCCTGCAGCTAAACACCCCCCATGATGCTGCCACCCCCGTGCTCCACAGCTGGGATGGTGTTCTCAGGCTTCCAGCTTCCTCCTTTCTCCTCCAGATGTACCGATGGTCATTAAGGCCAAACAGTTCAGGTTTAGTTCCATCAGACCACAGGACATGTCTCCACTGATGAAGCTCTTTGTCCCTGTCTGCATCTACAAACTGTAATCTGGCTTTTTTATGTCTCTTCTGGAGTGATGTCTTCTTCCTCTCTGAGCAGCCTTCCAGGCCATGTCGGTACAGGACTGGTTCCACTGTGGATAATGACTCTCTGACCAGCTTCAGCAGCATCTTCACAAGGTCTTCAGCTTTTGTTTTGGGGTTGATAAACACATTTCAACCAGAACACTTCATCTCTGGACACAGAACCGTCTCCTTCCTGAGCCTATGATGGCTGGACATTCCCATGGTGGTTATACTTGATATAACTGTTTGAACAGATGAACGTGGAACCTTCAGGCATCTGGAAACTGGACCCAAGGATGGACCAGACTGGTGGAGGTCCACAGTTTTCTTTCTGATATCTTGGCTGGTTTCTTACGATGTTCCCATGTTGTCACAAAAGGAAGCAGTGTGTTTGAGGTGTGTCTTAAACTACATCCACAGGTGTGCCTCCAATTAACTCAAAAGTTGTCAATTAACCAATCAAAACCTTGCAAAGCCATGACATCATAATCAGGCCTTTCCCAAATAGTTTGAAGGCATCTTAGTGAATGTAAACTTCTGACTTTGAAGAAAGTAATAAACCAAAAACTCTATTTAAAAAATTCTCTCTCTCATTATTCTGGTATTTATGGAAATAATTTTGCTAATCCTAACTGACCTAAAACAGGAAAAGTTTAGTCACATTTAATGTCAGACTGTGGGGAAAAAAAGGTTGTGTCTTTTTATATGGTGTATGTAAACTTCTGGTTTCAACTGTCTCTTTTGTTAGGTTGTCATCTAGATACAGAGACTGATTCGAGTACATTCACATGACAATTAAACCTGTTTGTGTGCTGAGTTTTCACCTGTCCAGGTATCAGCTGCATGTGTCTGTCAGAAAGAGCCTCAGAGCTGCAGATGGAAGCAGCTGCAAGAAGCGGTTCTGTGGTTGGAAGCGTTTTAAATCCATCATCCTGGTTCAGGTCTGGTTTAATGTGGTCTGGATTCAGGAAAAGCTGTGAACGTTTGATTTTCTGTTTTTAAACTTTAATTCATCTCAAACTGTTTTAAACTGTCTCTGGAGTTAACCTGCTAACTTCATCCACATCTAGAGGCTTTTAATGTGGTGGGTTTAGATCTGGATGAAAGTTAAAAACAACAACAACAACAAAGGGGTCTGGCTGTGTGTTTGAAAACAAACAAAAACCAAAAACTGAACACTCAAGTCTAAGTACAGTAGTTTTTTTTATTATTTAGATCTGGTTGAACGTGTTCTAAATGCAAAAAAAAAACCCAAAACAACAGCAAATTCACATTTTCTCTATTTTTGCACACAGTAGAAAGGTTTAATTGTAATCTGAAACTGGTGGTTTAAACTGTCCCTGAGTTTACATGTTAAGGTTTGGGTTTTTTAGGTGTTTTCTTACAGGTTAGGTTTAACTGCTCTGCATGATGTGTTTTTTTTATTCAGACCTGGTTTAATGTGTGCAGAAAAAAACCCAGTGGAATCGCCCTTTTTAATGATATTATGACTAGAATAAAGTCTTGAACCTTATGTGAAACATTACGCTTTACCTGTTAACCAGTTCAGATTCGCTGTGCGATGGTCGGCCTTCGCGCAAACGTGCTCCGGACGGGACTCCAATCCGGCGTGTCGAGTTTCGGGCAGATCGGAGCACGTGCGGCCTAGTTGCGAGCCACTTCCTGTTCAATGGCGAGCCGCCGCGGCGTGCGTGTCAGGTAGCGGCAGCCAGGCCAGCTGACAGCCTTCCCTGATCCCGGGAAAAGATGATATTAGAAAAAACCCGTGTTTTGTCAGGATTTTAATCATAGCTAATGGATATTAAGAGCTAGCCAAATAACGTTAGAAGGCTGACAAACGTTGGCTCCGCTGTTTCTTACCTCGCTCTACGGTGACTTTACTAGTTCNTTTACATGCGTTCTGTGTGAGTGAAACAAAAGTTTATTCCATCTAAAGATCACGTTTATCACGGCAGTCTTGAGTTTCCAGTGACTCCAATAACTCTGAATTTTCTATGATGGAATCATTGAAACATGAATCTTTGTCACAAAAGACAATCATGCATTTTAATTCTTTCATAGATTTATTAAAGGTCTTCTGGAAATATGACACAATCTGCTGGATCACAAATATACACACAGAAATGCTCATTGTAGGAGCCATTTATGTTTGTTGTTGGTAGGTAATTTAAAATGGGTTGTTTGGACACATCGTGGAGGTAATTGGACACAGGGTGTATATGTAGAGGGGGAGAGCCAACAGTTCTCACCAGACCAGCATCAGACCAGCACAGATACCAAATTCATCAAGCCTGACAAATACCAGCTTCATCGACATAACAGCTGTGTACTCTCTCAGCAGTTTGCCTGCTGTGGTAAATGGTTTGTGAGCACAGGAAAGGACAACTTACTGAATGCATGGAGAAGGCCCTATGGAGCCAGCATATTCCAGTCTAAAGAATCCTCCTCGGTGCGAAGCTGTGACATATCTGTGGATGACAAGTACATTGTTACTGGTTCAGGGGACAAGAAGGCCACTGTTTATGAGGTCCTCTACTAAAAATATGGAAAGAATGCAAGGACATTTCTTTCATTTAGTTTCTTGCATATCATCGAATAAACATCCACTAAGGGCGAGTACACGGACTGGAGATTTTGTTTTTGGTCTGCGTCGGTTCACTCTGCTCCACCTGTGCAGTAACGGCAATTAAAGGACTTTGGGGAGACCAGTCAGACACAATCTGCTGGATCACAAATATACACACAGTAGTGCTGATGTTTGGTCAATTTTTACCTCAGTTTGTTGTTTTGGTTTCCATGCACCAGCTTCGGGTTTATCTTTGACTTCTCTGGACAGAATCAGTGCAGTTCAACTCAGTTTGTTGTCTTTCTGATTTGTTTTTCATCAGTCCACAGGTTCTTGATGGTTTAAGTCAGGACTTTGGGGAGACCAGTTTAGAACCTTCATTGTTGTCACAGATCAGGCTCAGATACTCAGGCACAGACAAATGTCTCGAGAAATCAAAGCGTTTCACAATAAAAAGGTTATTACAAAAATAGAATTTACAGGAAGCAATACGGGGTTGAACATCAAGCAGGAAGCAAAACAAACGACGACTAGCAGAAAAGCAGAAACTTCCACAGCAAACAAAGGTGACAATGCCACACAAAAACTGGTGGTTACGCGACAGAAAACACTACGAGGAAAATACACACAGTTGATACTTAATACAGTAACCTTAGTGTGACAGATAAACCCAGACTGAGTGTTAATGCAGTCAGGAATGAGATCATACATTCATGAAGCAGGACTGAGCTAGGGGGACTATACAAAAACCAGACCTAGATAACACACGTTAGCAAACCAGGACCCGACAGAGATGAGGAGAACTTAGCCGAGAGTCCGAAGTGAGGAGGGTAAGGTGGACAGAGTGGATGTGTGGAGCTGCGTACTCCAGGCGGAGAGATTCTCCGTTGCCACACAGTACAGGAATGTCTCCAAGGCTTGATTGGTCCACTCCATTTACCCGTTTGTCTGTAGATGAAACCCAGAGGTTAGACTAACAGAGGTCCCGAGGACCGAACAGAAGGCTTTCCAAAACTCAGAGATAAACTGAGGACCCCAATCGGACACAAGATCCACCGGAATCCCATGCAGCCAGAACATTTTGGAGACAAGGTGATCAGCAGTTTCTCGAGCAGAGGGCAGCTTCGGAAGTGCAATGAAATGCGCAACCTTAGAA